TTGTATTTGCACGGCAACACAGCGTTTACACTGCACAACCTGCATGTCACAAATAAGTTGCGTTATCAGTCTACCGCTGGCAAACTTCTCGGTGGTAACGAAAGCAAAAGTAGATCTTGATTTTCCCGATCAAGCCTCGGTGTCTTACGCCTGCCGCCATAGCCGCCAGTTCCTGTGAAAGTAAAACGTACTCTCGGAGGAGGAAAAGCTAAACGAATATAATATCACAATCGCGACCGGCAAAAATTAACTTACTGACCTTATCGGACTTGGTTTTCAAATATTCCAGTTCCGCGATACTGATACTATTTTGACAAAAGATGGGACTTGAGATAATTAGGTTTACTCGCCCAAACTGGATCTCGTATTTTTCGCATTCCAGGATGCGTATTTTTTCATGAAAAGTCGTATTCGCGTATTTGCGGCAAAAAATCGTACTAAAATATGTAAAATCGTACTGGTTGGCATCTCTGCTAAGGTATTAATCTCGAGTTTCCAACTAGCCCTACAAGAGATGGCTACACACCTAACAACCTAACAGCTACACCACACATTGTCTCTCACTAGCCCTACAAGAGATGGCTACACACCTAACAGCTACACCACACATTGTCTCTCACTAGCCCTACAAGAGATGGCTACACACCTAACAACCTAACAGCTACACCACACATTGTCTCTCACTAGCCCTACAAGAGATGGCTACACACCTAACAGCTACACCACAGAGACGTGAGCCCAGATTGTTTATGCTTGGGGGGTCAAACACATGAATAAACACATTTTTGTCACTCCAAACTTTCAAAGTCCAGACCTCCACTCTCTTTACAACACAAAACTAAACACCTACAACAAAAACCCAGAGAGAAATGTCTGTTTCAATTGATGAACAACAAATGCAAACACATGAACACACGCACAATTCCGACATTTCAAACAAGACAACACAAAAATAAACACATACTAAAAACAGGGATGCCATTCAATTATTTTGAAAATAGCTGAAAATCCACGCGCCACAGTCTCGCTAACATATGAACATCAATTTGAAACCCAAAGGGTGTTCATAGAGAGAAATGGCAAACAAACATAAGTAATGGGTGCACATAGAAAGAAATGACAAACATTTTCGTTTTTGCGTTATTTGAACATTTGGCGCAAGTTGTTGTGTGTGGGGGTTTTTTGTTGTTTTTTCCAACTATAGATTTTATCTTGATCTCAATAACGGAATAGTGGATCAGGATCAAAATACCGGAAATACCGTAAAAAAGCAGAAAAGTGGCATCCCTGTAAAAAACAACCTTGAGAGAAATGTCCGTAAAATCAATGAGCAATAAATGTAACCACATGAATAGCCTAATCCTTATCAGACAAGTGGTCAAGAACGGGCGGCCTCACCTCGCTGCGTGCCAGGACAGACGTGGTACACGCTACACTGGACGCTGGGCACCATCAGCTGCAGCCACAGCGACAACTTCACTCCCGCGTCCTCCTCGTCCTCAAAGATGCTCTCGTGGAGAGGACTGGCGTCGTGAGAGAGGTCCTCCGACACGTCGGTCGTCACGTTCTCCGTCACGTCAGCTGGTGAACACAAGTCACATTTTGCCGTCAGGAAACAGGGTGGGTTTTTTCGGAGGTTTTTTAGTAAGAGTTTTGCGGCACTTGAAACACAATAAGGTCACATAAGTGCCGACGATTAGAGGTGTTACAAGAGAGTAACAAACACAAAAAAGAAGGAGTAGAGATCAGGACGATAGATGTTTGACAGGAAAGAAGGAGCAAACCACACCAGAGCACCCGCCAACCACCAACTTGTCACGTTTTGTCATCAGAACACAGGGTGTGCTTGATTAGCAACTTAGCATGAAACAAAAGTGGAACTAGAATCTTCACATAAAACACATATTTGGTTTTGTGGCCAGCCCAGCATTAATCATCAATGAGCGACACTCCCAGTACACACAATATGTGTCACGACACAGTGGAATATATATATTTATCAGGCACATGTCAATTTTTGGGCACGTGGAGATATTGGAGTCATCTCAAAACTTGTTCATTTGTAGCGCTTTGATGAAAAAAGAACCCATCTATCTTGAATAGAAGACGAGATATTGGCGATTGAAGGAGGTGGTGGTCACCTGTGCTCAGAGGTTAAATTCGTGAGAAAATGGTTACCAAATTTGGCGACTTCCAAAGCTTAAGTGTCCTTGGAAAATGCAAATTTACATTTTTGTGCCCTTGATCAACGTTATTCTGTAAAATCCACGGAGAAATGTGTTTTCAAAACGACATAAAAGATGTTCAGCCCAAAACAAAACAAAAATTAATAAAATTGCTGAACGGGCGAAAAAATGACGGTTTCTTTGATTTCATTGTTTGGATGAGCAACTAATTCCTCCACGAGGACATATATTTACAGCCGTAATCTCCAAAGAGCGCCAAACCTGAACGAATGCTCTCAATCTTGTTGGTGGAGGCCACACTTCTGCGCTGACTGGGCGGTCCGCGCGGCGAGACTCGAGGCTTCCTGTGCACTTCCTGCGCGAACAGCTTGCAGCAGGCGGTGAGCAGAGTGTGGGAGTTGTTGACCACAGCGGAGACCGTGCCCGCCACAGTGGAGCACAGGTGGAGCTGGGGATGGGGGGACATCAAACAAGAATAACGATCCAGTCAATATTGTCTTTATTTATATATAGTAGAGGGTTTTACGGCGTTCGCAACTGCATAAGGTCATATGAGCGCCAAGGGGTGGATGTCAACAGAAAAGTCTTTACAGGGAATCAGACTTACTCTGCTCACCTCTCTAGCTTCAACGACACAAGGTCTGCTTCAACTATCAAGGCACCCCGGAAATAGCAGGTCACAAGAGTGTGACAAACGTACAAAAGAAGTAGAGGAAAATGACAATAGTAAGGATGAGGAAAGAAAAAGCAGCAGTTCCCTGTTGTAGATCAGGCACAGTTATGAGCGTGACATGAATCAGCCCATTTACAATTCTACTCTGCTTGAACGAGAAATGTCCCCCTTTGGGAGTGGCCTAAAGACACTACAGTCAGTGGCACCGCCCCGGGGGGTCAATATTGTCTGAGGCAGCCACGCATTGTCAAAGAGAAAAGGGGCCAGGCCGAAGAGGAAAAGTACGATGCTGGCTTTAAGCCGACAAGAACTTAATTTCATGCGTGCTGATCCAGTATTTTTGTCTTTCTGCTGGAATGTTGTACCCTTCTCAGCCCAGGTTGGCCCTGTAAGGCAGGATCAGAAGCCCGCCGCCTACTTGATCTAAATGTGTCACAAGGGGGTGTAAAAACCTAGCACCTACATAGAAGAAAAAAGTCAATCAAAAGTAAGTCCTCACCTGAACAATACCATATAATGTATATATTTGTACATGGAAGTTTTGATCCCATAGTAGAAGTCAGTAAAGTGTGCAGTTAAAATTGTTTATGACGGCTACCCATAGTCCAAGTGAAAAGTGTTTGCATGGACGTCTTTCAGTGTCATCATAATCTTAAAAAAAAGATTTTTTTAACGTAAGGAGGGAGGGGGAACAGGAAGTGGCCGTATGTACAGGTGATTGTCTTCTACAGGTAAAATAAGATAAGATACTTTATTATCCCAGAGGGAAATTTTTCTTTTCTGTACAGGACCGTAAAAACACATGCAGGTATGCATAAAAAATCTAAATTATATATTACTCTCATTAAAATTTAACATGAAAAGAGAAGTAAAGCTGACAAAATGAACATTATCAAAAAAAACAGAAATATGGCACAACTGCATAGTAAGAAATAAGTTAAAAATTGAGTAAGCCTAAAAATTTATCCAAAATACGCAGATCTGTAGGAGTCTCGTCACCATCGAGCAGCGCCAGAAGTGTTACAGGTGGCCATTAGAGCAGGTCTCACTGTACATCCTCACCTGAGCGCTGGAGACATATACAGGTGGTCGTTTGTAAAGGCTATTGTCTTATACAGGTGACCTATAGATCACGTGTGACTACACCTCTCCTCACCTGAGCGCTGGAGACATATACAGGTGACCTATAGATCAGGCTAGACTATATCTCTCCTCACCTGAGCGCTGGAGACATATACAGGTGACTTATCTCCTCACCAGAGCGCTGGAGACATATACAGGTGACCTATCTCCTCACCTGAGCGCTGGAGACATATACAGGTGACCTATCTCCTCACCAGAGCGCTGGAGACATATACAGGTGACCTATCTCCTCACCTCACATGACAGAGTCGTGCCGAACTTGGATTCTCTATCCGTGCATCCGCCGGTCGACAGACGGATGACAGAAACCACGATTTCTCACAAGTTTCAAGAGATTGTACCATCAAATGGTAAGTTATTTTGTTCAGGCTGAGTGTATTTAGCTGTAGATGTTAAAAATAAGCTTTAAAGGTAGTTTATAGCTGTATTTTAGGCGCATGCACGTTTAGCACGGTCAAAACATTTCACAACACGATAGCTGGCTTCGTGCAAGTGGCGCTAACACGCTTACTGTAGCAAGGTGCGGCCCGCTGGTGGCTGGTATGTGGCGCTTCCACGATTAGCGCCCAGTAATTGTTACTGTGAACCTATTGCAATGTTGCTTTTTTGTTGTTGTTGTTTGTTGGTTTTAATTTTTGTGTTTTTATTGAATTAACGATTGTTTTTAATACAGCGGAAATATATTTTTAAATCCACGAAAACATCAACTAATCTATCTGAACTGTTAGTGTTACAGCAATGTTTTTTATTCAGAAAATACCGATAATGGCCATGGTATTATCTTAGTTGAAGCAGAATGAGTCTTGTTGCTACTTTGATGTCTTAAAGATGTATTTTCCCAGAATTTTCTTAGTCTCTGGCATTACCACCACCAGTTGATGAATTTACTTTAATACTGATAATTTCAACCAGTCAGCAGCATTAACACACTCCGAAAAAGTTTTATGTCTTCTCCACTTTCTTTCTTCCTGTTAGAATAGCTTTATCCCATGTACATAACGTTAAGTAGCCTATTGCATTAATTATATCACAGATCTCTATACATTGTGAGTCCACGCATTGGCTTGTTGCCAGAATTCATTGCAACTCTGAGGTAAATAGGACTATGATCCCACCGTTACCACTGTAGTCTCCCCATCCATTTCAGCTATTTTAATCCGTCACAGAAGAAGTAGTAGTAGTAGTAGTAGTAGTAGTAGTAGTAGTAGTAGTAGTAGTAGTAGTAGTAGTAGTAGTAGTAGTAGTAGTAGTAGAAGCAGCAGCAGTAGTAGTAGAAGCAGCAGCAGCAGCAGTAGCAGCAGTAGTAGTTTCATCATTGTCCAACATCATGATCCTTGTTAACACCATTTACACAACCGCAACTACTGCTTGTTGAAGCAAAAATACTCTAATAATGTTATTCTTTGCAGATTAACAAAGACCACTATTTACAATAGATGTTCAGTAAACCTATTATGTTTTTTTCTCCAACAGAAAATGTATCCTCTCAGTCGAGCTTTCAAAGGCGAGAGTAGCTTATACGCCACCTCGTCCTTCTGAACTTCTGCAGAGGGTCAGAAGTTCAACACCCATCCCATCTGATGAGACAGAACCAGATGACAGCACGTTGAATGACATTTCTTTCTCTGAACGTGTTGTCTTTAATGATGCAGATAATGTATTGATAAACCAGACTGTTAATAAAAGCAGGTAGAATTGTTATTGGCCTTCAGTAAAAGACAGCATCCTCAACCAAGGGAGTATGATTGCAAACGTGTCCCTTGGCTCTTTATCTAATGATCTCGCCTTATTAGATGGGGCAGCTACTGTTCAAGAACCAGTGCAGGCTGTAGATGGTACTATCCCACAAGAGTAGATGAAAACACAGACATTATGGATTTGGATAAGCAAGGGTGCAATGACACAAGTTGTGGACAACAATTTGAATGGGAATCAGCCGATCACATTATTGAAGAAGACGAAGAGGAAAACTTTGAAACGGAAAAAAACTTTGAAGGAGACACATCTTCATGTAGACCAATAGCTGAGTACCAAGAAACAACAGGGTCACGCCGTGAATCCAAAGCTGTTGATGGGCAAACAGACAAGGCAGTAGTAGAGCAACCACTCCGTTATTCCTCATCAAATACTTATCATTCATTGCTGGATGCAGTTGTCAGGGATAAAAAAATCAGTGGAGGCTGTGGGTGATATTACCTACAGCATACCACAAGAACTGGAAGAACCTGCTCACATTATGGACTTGGATGATAGAGACAACCAGGACACAAGTGATTCCAACGCTGTATATGAAAAAGCCATCGGAGACGTGGCTGGAGGAGAACGGCACGTTCATGAACGCTCTTAATGTAAACAACACTGTGGCTCAAGAAAAGGCAGATGAGATCACCCTAAGGTAAAACAAAATGAAGGTGACTAAAGACAATTGGAAGAAAAATATCAACAAACATAAAAGAGGTAAAGGGGAGGCCTATTTAGGAGGAAAATATGAGAAAGGTGGCTCAAAATACACTTTTTCTGAGAAGCCAACAAAGCTGTTAGGAGAAAAATGCAACTGCAAGACTGCTGGGGTTAAATGCAGTGATGTAACCAATGAAACCAGACAGAACATATACAAAGAGGCGTGGGCAATGCCTTGGCCTCAAAGAAATGCTCTGGTGAAATCGTTGTTTCACAAGGTTCCCGTTGGTAGACATCGTGAGGAGCTATCAGACTCCAGTAGGAGTAACACCTAGAGGTATCATCGCAATGTTGGAAGTGGACTAGTTCCAGTATGCAAAAAGATGTTCCCTAATACCACTGTGATTACTCATCTCACGATTAGAGCTCAAGTTTGTTAAGCTCACAACACAGAAACCCAGCAGCAGCCCAAAACTCAGGAATGGCAATATGTCCCATTATTGCAGGAAATCCTTTTCAAAACGCAATATCGAGCCGATGTTTAACAGCAAGGCAGAAGTGCACCAAGAGTATACTAGAAGGTGTGCAGATAACACCATCATCTAGGCAGGTCTTTGTTAACCCGTTTCAATCTGGCAATTACGCCCTTTTTCAGCAGAGAAAAGACCAGTGCGATCTGTGCGTCTCCTGCAGTGAGGGTGATGTGGACGAGGAAGCGTATGTCCTGCATCGGCAGAGAAAGGAGCAGACACAAAAGTCTAAAGGAGATAATAATAATTATTATTATTGCATTGATATAACGTATATCCATGCTCCACAGCATGCTCTATGCGCTTTACAACTATTATTACCCAAGCAAACCCTCTAAGAGCACTCAGAAACGTTCTCGGCTTTCGTGGAAGCATACAGTGCAAGCTGCTGATTTCACAAGCTCAAACTCTATCAAACTGACAAGATCGTTCACTGTCTATAGCCGGGTACCCATTTCCACCTGGGTGAAGTGAGGAAAACTCGTGTAAAGTGTCTTTCCCAGGGACACAACGTCCGGCCCCTGACAGGATTCGAACCCACGACCTTACGGTTGCGAGTCCGAGAGCCTAACCACTTGGCCACCAACGAGATGACAAAAAGAGGGCACTTGCAAGTAAAGCCAGGGTAAAAATACTGACAATGGATCTCCAATCAGTCCTAGGCATCCGCACTTTACTACAAGACGAAGCTTTGTGTACATAACTACACACTTTA